CATTCCCGGGACCGACCTGCAGCCCCCCACCGGCCGCTTCAGCGTGAGGGACAGAAGAGGCCGCTCAATAAGGTCCCCGCCCTTCCCGGGCTTTTTCTTGCCCGCCTTGTCTTACCCCGGATTTTACTTCACCGCCTTTTTCTTTGGGACCCGATCCATCCCGCCCCCCCCCTCTCAGGCCGGGGCGCGACGTGCGCGACTTCTGCCCCGTCTGTGGCCACTCGTCCGCCCGCCCGTCGCCGCACTTCGAGCAGCTCGAGGCTCTCGTCGCGTCGCTGCACGGCGCACTCGAAGCGGCCCGCGGCCGCCACACCGCCGTCTACTTTGCCGAGCGGGCAGAGCACGCCCTCCTCGTGCGGCTGCTCCTGGCGCGCGTCCTGGCCAGCGAGAGCGGCCCCGCCGCCGAGGACGACGCGGCGGCGCTCGCGCGCGCGCGGCAGTGCCTGCACGTGCTCACAAGCACGCCCGACTTGATCGAGCTCTCGGAGCACCCGGCGGAGGCCGGCACGCCGGAGCGCCAGGCACACGTCGTGCCCTCCCACTGCGTCGTCCTCGAGGCGGAGGCGGCGAGACTCGTCGCGCTGCCCGTCGCGGGCCCGCCGCTCTTTGAGGACGTGTGCGAGTGGCTGCTCAGCAAGGAGCAGCTCAGCAAGGAGCGGCGGCTCGCCACCGCAGAGCGGCTCTACTCGCTCTGGCAGCACCGCTTCACCGTCGCCACCTACCAGCTGCACTCGACGCTCAAGCGGCGGCTCGGCCTCATCGACGAGCTGCTCGCCTCCCTCCGCCGCGGCGTCGCGGGAAGTGCGGAATCGCCCGACCTCTCCCTCCCCGCGTGGAGCACGGCCACGTGCCGCTCCCTCCTGCCCCGGGAGGCGCCCTCGCTCGCGCTGCGGGCAGACTGCGGCCTGCGCTGCCCCGAGCTCTCCAAGCTGAGCTTCCTCGTGCAGTGCGAGGCTCACGCCGCGCTCTCCGAGACGGTGCACATGCGCGCGGCGCCGCTGGCGGCGCGGCTCGGCGCGCGGCGCGCCCGCACGCGGCTCCTGCGCCTCGCTGACGGCGAGGAGGAGGAGGTGTCGGCCGGTGCGAGGCGGACGCTGAAGAAGGCGTTCGACGTGGTGAGCGCGCAGGTGGAGGAGCTCGCGCTGAGCAAGTGGAGCGAGTGGCTGCTGGCGCCGTGCTCGCCCGAGGGCTTGCACGACGAGCTCCGCTTCCACGACCTGCAGCGCGGCCGCATCCAGGGCAAGCAGGCGCGGCTGCACGAGCAGTACTGGCCGCGGTCGGACGGCTTCCCCGCGCAGGCGGGCTCGGTGCTGTTTGCTTCGGTGGTCCAGGTGCAGCCGATGTACGGCGAGCACGGCCGCGTCCTCCTTCGCTTCTCGCTCGACCCGCAGCTCCACTCGCTCCCGTTGGGGCGCGGCCAGGTGCTCTCTCCCTGCCTCCCTGCCTCCCTGCCCCCCCCCCCCTGCCTCCCTGCCTCCCTGCCTCCCTGCCTCCCTGCCTCCCTGCCTCACTCCCTCCTTGTTTGCCGTCCTGCCTGCCTCCCTCCCTCCCTCCCCCTCCCCGCCCTTCGTCCTGCCGCTGTCCGCCGCTCACGGGCATCTCCGCTCACTCTGACCTTACCACCTCTGCATCGGGGGCCTCCCTTCGTTCACGCCTGCAGCTGTGCGCAGGAGTACGCGCTCTCGCCCCACCTCTCCCCACCTCTCCCCACCTCTCCCCCCCTCTCGCAGGAGTACGTGCTCTCGCCTCGCTTCATCGACCCAAACTCGCGCACGCTGGCAGACCGGCTCCAGCAGGACGCCCGCGCGACGAACCCTGAAGACGCCTCCGCGACGCGGCCGCTCTCCGTCCGTCTGATGCGCGAGCACCCCGCCACCTTCCGCGTCACCGCGCCCGCGCCGCCCGACGCCGCGTCCGCTGCGCTCGACGAGCAGCTGCGCAGCCTCTTCCCGCTCACCGCTAGCCAGGAGGAGCTCTTCTGCCTCTCGCGGCAGAACGCGGTGCAGTGCGTCAACGGCCCGCCCGGGAGCGGCAAGACGTACTTCTCCGCCGCCCTGATCTGCCGGCTGCTGGTCCGCGCGCTGCTCGTGCCGGGGGCGGTTCAGCGCGTGCTCGTCACCGCGTTCACGCACGCCGCAATCGACAACCTGCTCAACAAGGTCGCCGAGCTGCTGGGCGGCAGGGCGGTGCTCGCCTTTGCTGCCGAGGCGGCCATCGAGCTGCCCGTGCCGCGCAAGTTTCAACGGGACGACTCGAAGGAGTTCACCGTCGGCTGCGAGGTGCAGCACACGGACGCAGACACGGATGCAGGCATGCGCGGGTCTCCCCCCACACCGCCCAGCCAAGCCCCCCCCCTCCCATCACACACACACACACACACACACACACACACACACACACACACACACACACACACACACACACACACACACACACACACACACACACACACACACACACACACACACACACACACACACACACACACACACACACACACACACACACACACACACACACAGCCTCCCCCCCCCCCCCCCCCTCAGGGCGGTACTACGACTAGGAGATCCCCCAAAACGGCTTCCTGAACCAGACGGGGGGCAGCGGGGGCGAACAAGTGGGGGGGGCGAACGAAATCAAGCAGGGGCGCGCCTTCTCGCTCCCCTCCAAGGACAAAAAAAACCAGCAGCGCGACGGAGGACCAACAGCCCCGCAAGGTGCTGCTGCTCGGCTGCACGTGCTACCAGACGCCAAAGGTGAGGGAGAGTCTGGCCGCCAAGTTCGACTTCTTGCTCGTCGACGAGGCGTCGCAGATGCTGCTGACGCATCTGAGCATGTCGCTCCCCCTCCTGCAGGACCTCCGCCCGCCTGTGCCCGGCCGCCCTCCCGGCCGGCTCATGGTTGTCGGCGACACAAAGCAGATGGGCCCACTCCTGACCGAACAGTACCCCGAGGCTGCGGACGGGCTGCCGCCCGTGCACGCCTCGGTGCTCCGGTGGCTGGCGGGGCGCGCGCTCGCGCCGCTGCGCCGCGGCGACCGCGTGGCGCGGCGCGGCGGCGAGTTCTTCATCCTCGGCCCCGCCGCCGCGGAGGGCACCTACGCGGCGGCGCCCGTCGGCGGCGGAGGGCCGGTCGAGCTGGCCCGCGCCGAGCTGCAGCGGGGCCTGGTGAGCTCGCTGCAGGAGAACCACCGCATGTGCGACCAGCTGGCACGCCTTGCGCGCGAGGTGCTCGGGTACGCCGAGTACACCGAGTGCCACCGCCGCGGCTGCCCGTGCAGCAAGCGGTGGCGCGCCGATGGCGTTGCGGGAGGAGTGCCGCCGCTGCGGCTGCGGCTCGACTGCGGCCACTCCGCCGGGTGTGCTGCGGGCGTCCTCCGGACCGCACACGCTTTTGTCATGGTGGAGCTGCGCGCGCCGGCGGGCGGCGGGCCGTCCGCCGCCGCGGGCGAGCCGCCCGCGGACGAGGCGGAGGCGGCGCGTTCGGCGGAGGCGGCGCTGGTGGCGGAAATTGTCTGGATGTACCTGCGAGGCGCGCGGCCGACCTGGGGTCGCGCGGCCGCTGACGGCCGGCTCGACGAGAGCGTGTTTGTCGTGACGCCGCACCACGTGCAGCGCGTGGCCGTCTTGCGTGCGATCGAGGAGAGGCAGATCCCGTTGCAGCACGTCGAGGTCGCGACGGTCGAGAAGGTGCACGAGGAGGTGTGAACAGCGTCTCTTCACACCCCACTGCTGTGAACAGGTCGCGACGGTCGAGAAGATGCACGAGGAGGTGTGAACAGCGTCTCTTCACACCCCACTGCTGTGAACAGGTCGCGACGGTCGAGAAGATGCACGAGGAGGTGTGAACAGCGTCTCTTCACACCCCACTGCTGTGAACAGGTCGCGACGGTCGAGAAGATGCACGAGGAGGTGTGAACAGCGTCTCTTCACACCCCACTGCTGTGAACAGGTCGCGACGGTCGAGAAGATGCAGGGCCAGGAGCGCGACCTCGTGGTGGCGTGCTACGCGGGTCTGGATATGCGCAGAGAGAGGGGAGGTATAGACCCATGTGCATTCCAGCGTCCGGCGGACTCCGCGGAATCCAGTGTATTCGTTGCCCCGTGTCCTCCCGCACGCTGCCCTCCGCCGCCGTCGCCAACGCCGCCCAGCCCACCGCCGCCCTCGCCGCCCCCGCCCTCGCCGCCTCCACCATCTCCGCCGCCACCCTCGCCGCCACCGCCGTCCCCACCGCCACCCTCTCCGCCGCCACCCTCGCCGCCGCCCCCGCCGCCGCCCCCACCCTCAACGGCACAACACCGCCGCGCGCGGATTTCTTTTTTCTGTACCTTGTTAGGCCTCGACCTCGACGAACGTAACGAGCTCGGCTTCGCCTACTCGCGCGAGCGGCTCAACGTGGCCGTCTCGCGCGCGAAGAAGAAGTGCGTGCTGCTCTGCTCGCCGGCGGTGCTGCACCCGCCGATGGCCGTCATCGAGACGGCGGGCCAGACGCAGCAGGGCCGAGGGGGAGGAACCTTCTAGGAACCTTCTTGGAACCTTCTAGGCGGAGACGATGGCAGGACTCGCCCTCCTCCGGCGCACCTCCCCATCTCTCCCCATCTCTCCCTAGGCGGAGATGAGGGCAGGGCTCGAGCTCCTCCGGCGCATCTCCGAGGCGTGCGGCGACGGCAGCTGCGACTACGCGACCACCGTGGTGCACACGGCTGAGGCGGCCGAGGGCATGGACGTGGGCTTGCCTCCTCGGCAGGGCGATCCCGCCGGCCAAGCCAGCGTGGCCTCGCTCTCGCCGCGGAGCCGCGACCAGAGCGTCAGCCAGAGCGGGAGCCGGCAGGCGAGCCAGGCGAGATACAGCCGAGACGCAGCCGAGATGAGGCTTCACGGCGGCCCATCTCGGCCCATCTCGGCTCATCTCGGCTCATCTCGGCTCATCTCGGCTATTAGGCGAGCCAGGCCGCCCAGCAGGGCGGGCAGAGCTGCGGCGCGGGGTCGCAGGTCGCCATCGACGACGACGAGACGGAGGACGAGGGCGAGGGCGAGGGCGCCCCGCCCCCGCTCGTGGTGCCTGTCCTGCCTCTGGGCGAGGCGACACCGACCGACGAGGACGAGGAGCTGGCTCGACACTCCCTCGCCCACGCGCCGACGGCGGGGCAGCGCGCGGCGTCGGCGGAGCTGCGTGAGACGGCGCTGGAGCTGCGCGTGCCCCTCGAGGCGCTGAGCCGCCGGCCGTGGGCGCTGGTGCCGTACGAGGATTGGCCGGCGCTGGCGGAGCTGCCGGCGTTCATGCGCGGGTGGGCGAGGCGAGGCGTCGTCGTGCGCCCGGTGCCGCCGGGCCGCGTGGAGGTTGACTGGTACACGCCGGCGCTGCACGCCGCCGCGGTGGATCTGCACAAGAAGGTGGCGGCGCAGATTCACGGCGGGTGCTTGCGATAGAGAGGGGTCGCGAGGAAAGGATACTCGGGCTCACGGGACCTGGGGCTAGCGTGGTGCGTGTCACGCTACGTGCGTGGGATAGCCTCGGGATAGACCCGCGGGTAGAGTAGTGGCGTCTGACGCCAACCTGTCGGACGATCCATCGAGGCTCAAGCTCGATACGCTAGAGAGAGAGGATGGGAGCGACCCAGGTGTCGTTTGTTGTTCCCGATCTTAGCGATTGAGGTGATTAGCAGATGAGAAAGGTCACTGCAAGGAAAAGAAAACAAAAGTCTGGCTCAAAAAGAAAACGAAAGCCGGGTGTTCTTAGGCGAACGAGTGCCACAGGCAAAACGCCGCCACCACACAGGGATTTTAAGGAGAGGTGTGTGGTGCGCTATCCGTCGCCCACCCTAGGGAGTCTGCCTCTCCCAGCTGTTCGGCCAAAACCTGAATTTAAGGCCGGATTTCTTGGATTTGGAGCCCCCTTCGCCATTGGTACACAGGTACACAGACACAGGCACACAGGCAAAACGAGGCCCAGCGTGCAGTCGCGAGTCGCCTCCATGCCTGCTGCGCTCCCGCGACGCCCGCACTGCGCCCGCAGCGAGCCCGCGCCCAACGTGCTCTGCGCCGTCTTCACCTGCGCCATCGCGGCGATTGCGAGCGGCGGGTTCGCCTTCTCGCTCGGGTCTGACAGCTTCCTTCTCCCTTCGTCGATCGTTGTGCCCGGTGCAGCGGCGCTCACGACTGTGCGCGGGCCCGAATGGTCCCCCAAGAGCCGCAATAACACAGGGAAACACGCGACGGCCACGTGGCACAACGCCGTGCTCGGCGGAACAAAGCAGGTCGAGGGGGGCGAGCTCATGCATCACAGGTTTCCCCGGCACTTTGCCAGCGCCTTGCTGGTGACCTCAGCCGCGGTGGGACGGGTCCTCGATGTCGCCCTGCGCTCTAGCGCCGTTGGCGAGGCGAGCTTGTGGTTCACCGGGCCGCGACTGTCGCTCGACGTGCTCAAACTCTTCATCCTTGTGCTCGGACTCAGCGACGTTTGGGCAGCCCCTCGGCCAGAGGCATTCGTGCTGATGCTGCCGGAATACTTTGAGGTGCTCACACACACACACACACACACACACACACACACACACACACACACACACACACACACACACACACACACACACACACACACACACACACACACACACACACGCACGCACGCACGCACGCACGCACGCACGCAGCACGAGCACTCGCACGCGCACGCGCACGCGCCCTGTCGTCTAGACGTGGAATCGCGAGGGTCGTCCCCGCCGCCCCTTGCCCCACCTTTCCTTACCTTACCTTAGGTGCTCCGCCGCAAGTGCAAGCCAATCAAGATGCAAACCAGCTGTCAAAAAATGGCGTGGCATCTCTTTAAGCACGGATCGAACTCGACTAATGCCACAAACTGTACCTCCCACCAGCTTGCGAAGGACATTCGCGCTGTCAAGAAGGGTCGGACATGTCTGATAAAAAGGTCTGAGGACGCATCAAGCTACAAAGATGCTACACACACGCTGTGGCTAAGCTGGCTCGCACCTTCGATGAGCGATGTGCAACTGGGCGCGCGCAAGTTGGAGGAGATACTGGCCGGTGTGCGCTGGGCAGTGCTGCTCTCGTGGGCATTGTTCCTGGTGCTGCCGGCAGCCCCACGTCAAAATGCAGCGGCGATCCGCCGCCTCTCCACCCTCTCCTTTGTGGTCGGAATGGCATTGTACTTTTACATGTTGGTTGGGCTTTACTGGCAGAAACCGTGCCACCACATGCAGCCGCTCATCCTGTTCATCCCGGCTGCGGCGTGCATGATCCCAGCCATTCATGGCGGCTGGCCACTTCGTGGCGAAGCAGCAAGCTGGCTCGGACAGTACTTGCTGTTCGGCATCATGGCTCCGCTGTACCTCACAGCGGGCCTATGCAAAATCAGGTACCACGGCGTGACACAGGTCTTCCTTTCCTCTGGCTGGATCGACTTTGCCTTGGGGTCCTATGCCGCTTCTGATCAGCTTGGCAAGGGAAAGTGGTATATTCCTCAGCTTTCCCGGTGGATGCTTGACATCGATCGCCTCGTACCCCTGTTTTCGTGGGGTGGGATGCTCTTTGAAGTGGCCATGCCTGCTGCGGTCATTGTGCTATCGCCCACGTCACGTTGGCACAGGCCTGTCCGGCAGCTCTTTGCTGCCAGTGCCATCGGCTTTCACGTGTCCATGTTCTTTGTCTGCGGCGCGAACTTTTGGTACAATGGTGTCCTGGCAGCTGTGCTGCTGGCCGCCGACTTGATGGATGCGAGCCCAGCGCCCGAACTTGCGCACAGCGGCAGCAGCAACTCGGTCGTCAAGATGTGCATGTCTGCTTTCACGAGCGCGATGCTCTTCGGGTGGCTCCTCACATGCATCGATGCGGACATGGGCTTTGCACTTTCTAAAGGGGCTGGGTGGGGCGAGCCGAGGCACAAGGGTGTTGACCGGCTGCTTCCGTTCTCGCTGCACGCCATGTACACCAAGGGGATGAAGCGCGGCGCGGCACGACCAGGGGCTGCCTCCTCCATGACGATCGCAGCTCTCGTCGCAGCCGGCTACGTTTGGAACCGCAGGCGCACGTAAGGCGGCGTTTCGTGCGGCGGTTGAGCGAGGGCTGCAGCGGCACATGCTCACAGCATGTCGGCGGCACGATAGGGATCTTCACATCTTCTGCCGCCCTCGGGCGGCGCAGCGGTCTGCGCTCGCAAGTGTATTCCCTTCCCGGTCCCTCGCGATCGGGAGTGAGCGACATAGCTTCGCGAAGCGTTGTAGTAGGGTTTGGCGTATGCCCTGGCCTCGAGATCGGGAGCGGTGTGCGAATCGTTGCGGTATGGGGAAGGGGGGAGGGGAGGCGTGCGAGTGTATTCCCTTCCTGGCCGCGGTCGGGAGTGAGCGACATAGCTTGTGCGCCGGGCCCCGCGTTGCGCATGGCATTCAAGGCGAAGTCCTCCACTGGAGGAGATTAGCGTGTCGTGTTCTTCATTAAGTAAAGCTAGAGTCCTTAACGGGCATATATACAAGAACACTGACGTGAGATCTGGGCGCTACGCACCGTTTCTTAAACGGAGTCACTAAGTAAATCGGGTCCGGCTGGTCATTTACTTAGTGAAAAAACTGGTTTCTTAATCCAAATCCTGCAAAATGGTAAGCTGGTTTCTTAATGTCACGGTTTCTTAATGCCCGTTAAGGACTGACAGTAAACTGTCGTCGCTCAGACACGCCGTGTCTGATCGGCCAGCAGCCCACGGGGCCGCTCGAACCAGTCTAGTTCGTAGCCTTTCTCCTTGTACTGCTTCTTCACCCTCGCCGGGTCGATCCCCCTCAGGAAGCCTTTCGGCGCGCACATGGTGGCAAGGTGCAGGAGGAGCGCCGCGTGCACTTGCGAGGACGGGTCATACTTGAACGAGTCGATGTCGTCCTTCTCAAACCCATCCTCCTCGGAGAAGATCGGCCGGACAAAGAAGAACAGCACGCGGCGCGGCACCTCGCCACCGCCGCCGCCTGGGCCACGGTGGATGAGGGTTGGAAGCGCGAGCAGCGCATCGCCCACGGCCGGCTCCGCCTTGCCACACGGCTTCATTTGATCGATCAGCTCCGATGGCTTGTCGAGCAGCTCGCGGAAGCTGTTGCAGATCATCTCGCCCTTGCTAACACCAACGAGCTGCCTCTGCCGCTTTGGCCGCTGCCCGCACTCGCCGCATCCAGCCATTGCGCAGGTCCAGCTGCGGCCCTTGCGCAAATGCTCGTCCAAGAGGCGAATCCATCGATCGCATTCGTCGCAAGCAGCCTCCGCGTCCACGTAGTAAGTGGTGCCTGAATACGGATACGCGAGCGTCGGTTGCTGATTTCGGCGAAGCTGAACGACGCCGAAGCAGCCGCCAGAGTTGTTATAGTCGTCGGCATGGGGTATCTGCGGCGGCGCACTTACGCTGGCCTCGAGCAGCTTGGCCTCGTCGAGAACGAACTTGTCGACGCCATGTGTGCTCAGAATCGCCGCACGGGTTGTCGCACTGCCCTCGATCTCCCTCTTGATGTCCGCCCATGCGTCGAGGTGCTTGCAGTCCAGCTCCACAGCGTTGGATATCTCATGCGCTTTGCTGCCCTTTTTGATCTCCATGCTCGTCTCGGCGAGCCGCTCACATACCTTTGCAGGCAAGAGCTGCTGATCTCGACAAAGCCGTGCTCCATCACGCGGGTCGGGTCGCGGTTGCTGCCGGCAGGAAAATCTTACCTTATATTTTCCCGTGTCCGGTTTTCCGTTTCGGGCGACGGCACACTCACCGAGCTATCCGGGCGGGGAATCATGTCGGCGAAGGCGGGCTCTGGCATCTCGGTGATGCGCTCCGATCTCGACGCGTCGACCTCGACGGAGGTGGACGCGCACGAGGCGCAGTGGCGGGCCGGCGTCAACCGCCAAGCGCGTCCAGACGCCGCTTCGCAAAGACGGGCGGCGTCATTGGCTGCTGCAGCCAAGCGGCGGCGGATAAGGACATGAACAACATACCTGCGCAAGCCGTCGCCCGGGCGGCCGCAGGCGGTGCCATCTCAACCCACTCTCGGCACCGCTGCACGTGCGTGCTCCCTCTCCCACCCAACTCGGCTCCACTCTCGTCCACCCGCGCCCACCCCATCATCTGCTCTCAGGCTGATTGCGGCGTGTGTTGCGCAATGCCGAGCCACCAGACGCTGGCCAGAGCATGATTGTGATGCCTCTGTCTGGGCCGGGGGGGCGTTCGACAGCGCGCGAGGCTGCCTCCCTGCCCTTTGCGACGCTTGCGACCACTGCTGAGTTGCATGCAGTACAGAGTAGCAGTGGTGGGGAGGGCTTGCGCCCCCCCCCCCCCCGGCAGAATGGTAAACTCGTGTCTACTCACCTCGTCGGCTCCATCGGCTGCCTCTCCTCGTGCGCCGGCTGCCTCTCCATCCAACCGCTTCTGCGTCCCCTTCTCTGCCCGGTGCTCGCGTGTCGCGATGTCGCTCTGCCGAGAGGGTCATCGCCGGCGTAGGCGGAGCGGCGGGCCCTTCGTTACAGAGACAACAAAGACATTTCACCCCTCGGGCTGTTGTTGCAGACAGAAAAACAAATTTGGCGCGCGTGCGCGCAAGGTATGCTAGTTGCCCGAAAAAAGCTCGGCTTTGCGTAGAACCCGGTACACGGAACCATCCCTCGGAGACCCGTGTTATGGCCCTGCGAACGCGCACCCCCGGGGCTAGGGCTCTCTAGCCCGTAACCCGATCCCGATCATCCGGCCCGCTGGGTGCGCTTCTTAGCTCCCCGGCCCTGGATGTGAGGCTGATAACTGCACTCCAAGTGCTCCAACTGCACTCCAACCCTCGGAGACCAGTGTTTACTTCACGGCCCTTTCCCTGCGAACGCGCACCCCCGGGGCTAGGGCTCTCTAGCCCGTAACCCGACACCGATCATCCGGCCCGCTGGGTGCGCTTCTTAGCTCCCTGGCCCTGGATGTGAGGTTGATAACTGCACTCCAAGTGCTCCAAGTGCGTAATATAAAAAAGCTTGAGTGTGTGTGGGTGGAGGTGGAGGCTGGTGGCTGTGGTGGACCTTTGACTTTATTTAATGGGTCGAGTACGAGGACTGGGGGGTCAACCGGGAGGCAGGGGGCTCGACCAGGCGACGGAGGACCGTGGGCCAGGGGCACCCCCTGGGTGGGGGCCGGCGATTCCCATGCCGGCTCTCCGCCACAACCCCCGCCGGGAGGGAATCCCTGCTCACAGAAAAGGGCTTCGAGCCCTGTCTCGCGCACGCCCCTGGCGGGCGCCGCGGACCAGTTCCGCGAGCGCTCGTCAGCGGGTGGTGTGCGGTTCTTGCCGTAGTTCCTCTTCGGTCGCCTAGCCCCGGCGCCGTCTGTCGGACGCCTGCGTGTCACGAGTGCGAGCCGCTCGCGGTTCGTACACCCGCTTGCGGGTTCGAGTGGCGGGCCATCCCGCTTGCGGGATGGCTTAGCGGGTTCGAGCCGTCACCGCACCGATTGGCTGCCGGGGTGTGCCGAGGGGGGGCTGGGTGGGCGGTAAGCCAGCGCTCTGGGTGGTAGTGGCGGCGCTCCAAGAGTGGTGCTCTTGGGAAGAGGTTCCTCCTTTCCGCTCCCCCCCCCGCAAGGCGCGAGACACACACACGGCACACTCTTACTAGCCTATCTATGGCTCCTCTCTGGTGTGCTCATCTGGTGTGTAGGATAAAAAGCCGTAGCCCGGAAGCGCGGAGCCATCCCCGTCGACTGGGTACGGCTTACGCGCTACGGACGCTGGACCGTGCGGTGTACCACATATGCCACACTCCACACACACCGTACCGCACAAAGCTGCTACCCTACCTCTCCTGGCTCCTGCGCGGCATTGTACTGCGCAAAACGCTGCTCGCACTCCTGCGAGTGGTAGCCGCGGCCCGTTGCGCACTCCATACAGCACGAGTCCCACCTGCGCCCTGGCCGATACTCACCCGGCTTGGCCGGGCGGCGCGGCGCGCAGCCCTTGACACACAGGGTGAACGAGAAGGCCGGCAGCGGCGCGGGCGGTGGAGGCCGCGGCGGCGCGACTGCCGCGGCAGCCGGCGGCTGTACGTGGGCAGCAGGCGGCGGCGCATAGGCCGCCACCGGCGGGGCGTGGGCGGGAGCCGCCGGCTGCCTTGGCGGCTGCGACGGCTGCGACGGCGGCATGTGCGGGGGCGGCGGCCCGGGCGGCGGCCCGGGTGGCGCAGCGGGTGGCGGCGGCGGGCCGGCAGCATTCGTCGGCGGGTGATCACGCTCCCAGCGGCGAAAGTGCGGCTGGCGGCGGTAGAGGTCCTTCCACCCCGCGGGCAGCCTCGGGTCGAGCACGGCGTGCCACCAGAGCGGCTGCGCCTGGAGGTGCGCCTCGAGCGTGCCAGCGCGGAGGTGGCGGTAGAAGAGGTCGATGGCCCTGCTCGACCGCACCGCTCCCGCCGAGAAGTTGCGGATCTGCATGCCCTCCAGCTTGACCGCGCGGCTCACGGCCACGTACGCCTGGCCGTCGGTAAAGTAGCCCTTGAGGTCGACGACGACGAAGTCGAGCGACTGGCCCTGGCCC